ACCCCAGTCTCCTGCAGATTCTTGCCCATCATGCGATTGATGAACGTCGACTTTCCCGAGGAGTGGTTGCCTGTGCGAGGCAGGGGCCTCTTCCTCCTCCTCCTCCTCCTCCTCCTCCTCCTCCTCCTCCTACTGCTCCTCTTGCTCCTCCTCCTCCTCCTCCTCTTCATCCCTCTCCTCTTCCTCCCTCTCCTCCTCCTGCTCCTCTCCTCCTCCTCCTCCTCCTCTTCTTCGCCTCCTCCCCTGCGCCTCCTCCTCCCCTCCTCCTCCTCCTAATCATCAGCATCAGCGTCATCATCATCATCAATCGTCTCATCATCATCATCATCATCTCATCATCATCATCAGCACATCACCACCACCACCACCTCATCATCAATCGCTCAGCATCAAGCAGCAGCATCATCATCCTACATCCTATCTCCTCACTAGCATCCTAACTGCATCCTCATCACTCATCCTCACCCTCATCTCATCCTCATCCTCAGCCGAGCCTCTTTCGTCCCAGCGCAGTACATTCAGCCCGCATCAGCATCAGCATCAGCAGCATCCTCATCCTCATCCTCATCCTCATCCTCATCCTCATCCTCATCCTCATCCTCATCCTCATCCTCATCCTCATCCTCATCCCCATCCCCATCCCCATCCCCATCCCCATCTCCATCCCCATCCCCATCCCCATCCCCATCCCCATCCCCATCCCCATTCCCATCCTCATCCTCATCCCCATCCCCATTCCCATCCTCATCCTCATCCTCATCCTCATCCCCATCCAAATTCTCATCCTCATCCTCATCCTCATCCTCATCCTCATCCTCATCAGCATCAACATCAATATCAACATCCGCGTCCGCATCCGCATGCCCATCCGCATCCGCATCCGCATCCGCATCAGCATCAGCATCAGCAGCATCAGCAGCAGCATCATCATCAGCAGCATCATCATCGTCATCATCATCATCGTCATCATCAGCATCATCATCACCACCACCACCACCACCACCACCATCATCATCATCATCATCATCATCATCATCATC